TATTCTATTCTATTCTATTCTATTCTATTCTATTCTATTCTATTCTATTCTATTCTATTCTATTCTATTCTATTCTATTCTATTCTATTCTATTCTATTCTATTCTATTCTATTCTATTCTATTCTATTCTATTCTATTCTATTCTATTCTATTCTATTCTATTCTATTCTATTCAACAACATGGCATTTTAAAGTGCATCCGCCTAAAACAACATTTCTTTGAAAATGACTATTTGCATTTAGTGAAAAGTTTTTTTTATTTATTCCTTTTTGCTGGAGAACAAACATTATTTTTGCTATGCACATACAACGACCTTATCCAGGTAAGACGCACACTAAGCGCAAGTACTTCAACGGTCACCAGTCAATAAAGTGGTACTTGTTATATGGCCCACACACACACAAAACACCTTATGTGGACGAAGGTGCAAGAGAAAAAAAACAACTTCAGAACTACTTATAGATACCCAAAAGGATTTGTAGAGCACTGCAAGATTTCAATACGCTAGATTTCCACACATCGTCACACCTCCAAATTTTCACATTGACACACTAGTAAAACGGGTTTTTATTGCACATTTGATGTTAAATTTCAGCTCTAAAATGCGCATTTCATAAGCAACAAATAAAATTCTCAAAGCGCAAAATACCTCAGCGGACAAACAATCACCTTGATATTATCAATTTCCAACCAAGTATGGTCGTATACTATTTTTCAACGAGTCACCGTTGACGTACTCTCTGGTGTAATAAGTATCGATTCGGAAACCACCAAACCATTTTGATTATTCATCTTTCTAAACACAGACCTGAGTTGAGCGCTATATTTTGATGTTTCTTTTCAACATGTTGCAACCCCCAGACCGACAAATTAAATCACTGTAATTTTCCTTCCTTTAGTACGAGAGCGATGTTAAAGCCTGATTAGGTCTGATTAGGGTGCTAAAAATGTCCCTTCCTATCCCCCGACGGGTACCAATGTGTACCAGTCAGCACCTGCTGATAGTTTTCGTCAGTGAATTGAAAATAACGATGTCGTTGGTATTCATGATGGTTTTATTAGTTGATACCGATGTTCAGGGATGGTTCAGCTGCTGTTTGTAGTTTGGTTTGGGGCAATTCTTGTCGCGTTTTCACTGGTCCTTCATAGCGGTCTTTCCTTCAGTAAAGTGGTCACCGGTGGTAAGTTTTATCACAGGAATCCCAACGTTTCTCAGCCTGTATTGCTGCGCCTCCATTCACTGACTGCCAAAACCTTATCAAACGTTTGTTTCAGCTTTGATTTTTATATCGAAATTAGACTCCAAACACAAGAAACGTGAATAAGAACGTATCTATTACCAAATACTTTTCAAAAATCACACAAAATAGTGAAGATAATACAATAGAAAACAAAGAAATTAGCAACATTTAGTCCAATTATTAGCACATTTAAATCAATTAACTCATTATTTTAGTGTTTGCACTCCATACTTTAAAGTTGAAGAAAAAAACGAATTCACTTTTTGGTGCTATTGACCAAATGTGCCGATTTCGAAATAGTTACAAAAATGATTCTGGTATTGCAGGTACTAGACTTTGTTCGCCTTGCATGACAAGGGCTGCAATTGCGTAGTATCCGTTATTTACTGTTCGACCCGAGCTAGCGAGATTAATAAGATTTTATTATATAACTATCTTTTTCATTGGCAAAAAAAAAAATCAAAAATGCAATTTGTAATTTGTAATTACGCAAAACAAATTGTCTTTTCAGATTTGCTTTCAATTGGATTAACGGCAGGGTCTGAATGGGGTTAACCGACTAGCGACAAATGGACAAAATAACTACTGACTAGCGACAAATTCAAATTTGAACAAAATTTGCTGACTACCGACATTAACAAATTTACTGACTGGCGACATTTTCCAATATTCAAAGATGTTAGCTCCGTGAATACAAGCTTTTTTTWATTTTTCAAGCAACTACATTCGAAATTTTCCGCGGAAAAAATAAAGTTTGCTTCGGATTGGCTTCTTGAAGGGTTGAAGTTGTGATGAGCCACTGTAAAACTTTGAGGGGCATCCAATTGACCAATCAAGACTCAAGGATTCAATTGTTGGCATTTTAGAAAGAATTCTATTGTATAAAGCACCGTTTTAGATGCATTTAAACTAATGTTTATCAACATTTTTTAAATAACCGACTACCGACAAATGCCTTGAATTTTAACTGACTAGCGACAAATGCTTGAAATTTTAACTGACTACCGACATTGAGACCCCCCCCCCCCCCATTAAGGCCCTGTAATGGCGGTCCATACGAAAACGTATGGCCATGATTTCATCTAATCAAGGCTCGTGTTTACTATGGGGCTGACGTAGGTTGGTGGTTTTACGTTTCTGCTGATTTCAGCGGTCGAAACTTGGCATTGCTMTCATTTTTTCGGGTTGTGAAGGTATCACTCGGTGGTGGATTTGCCGATTTTGCAACGTAAATATATATTCCGTAAATAGGCCACCTTGCTACATTTATTTAAAACACGATCTCGAGTCTTTTAAACGGTTTCAAAAGCTCCAATACTAATTTGAAACCAGGAGC